AAGGTGAAGAGCATCTCCTAAACTTCTTTGCTTCAAAATTATGGGGGGGGGGGATCAATCCCTCTACTAATATGAAAGGATAAAATTTGAATTCATACTGTTGATGCACAGTCTCAATTTGTAATAAGACACAATAGAGAATTTCTTAATTTAGAAAGGAAATTAATGTTAAAAAGGACATGTTAAAAATTACTTGTTTTTCACATAATGAGAAAGTTATTCTCAATTATTTTAATTGTTTCCGGATTTCATGTTGGTACCTACAACAGTACCCCAAATTGAACGGTTTTATATTTTAATCACAAAAGGAAATGATGTTTAAAAACTAAATGATACTAGTAGTACTACAACAGCATCTACTTTCTCGCAGTTTTCTCACTTAAAGAATTTTCAAAAATTCAGAGTTCAACGAAAATAAGACCTGCACCAACTTTTGAGCACTCCTACCCATGGAAAAAAAAATTGAAGTCTTCGGGGTGTGTGTGTGTATTTTTTTAACTTCTGCAGAAATTGCCCAAAAACTATGTTTAACAAAAAAACTTGTTTCAAAAAAATTAGAAATTGCCTACACACATAACATTTCACACAAAAATAGCGCAAACTACTCATATTTTCAAAAAATTGTACAAGACTATATTTCAAGGTCCATCTTTCAAAAACAGTTTTCAATCAGGAAAAAAATTTCTATTTTCAATATTGTAGTCATCGGAAGACACTGAAAAAAACTGAACTTTTACAATTTTCAAAAAATCAGGGATTTCAACAAAAACGAGACCTAAACTATTCACTTATGTGTACTTTATGCTATCCAAGAGCAAAGTTCAATAAAAAATTTGGAGTAATTTATTAGAAAATTTTGAAATGATATTGAGACTTCTTGTAAAGTACCCCATAAAATCAAACTATCCGTTTCAAACTCAGAGGGCCTTGAGTTCATTTAAATTGATGAGGGAATATCAATTTTGGAGAAAATCATTTAATCGGTTTAGGTGTGAAACATTTTTGGTTTTCGAATGGTGGCATCCTTATTTGTTGGCTTTTTTATTCATTGCTCAACTATAGATAGTACAAGAGAACAATATAGATTATGAAACACGAAATGTATGTAAATTATATTTCATCTCCACATGTCACATTACTGTTTTTTATTGAAAAACAAATAAGTAATGTGTTTATATTTTCCTTTTCAAATTACTGTTGCTACTGCTGTGCTGCAGACTGCTTCTTTTATTTCAAGAAAACACTGACAAAACATGACATCACATCATTGATAAAACACACATCAGGAATTATCTTCTTTCAGAAGATTTTTTCGTTTTTCCCACTTCTATGGCCCTGTACAAAGAATGTAATGGGTTACTCTGAATTGGTTGTATGAATTGGAGTGAAGATGGCATGGTAAGAGTCACACTTCAACCAAATACCATATTTAATTTACCCTATGTAAAAAAAAATATAATCATGATAACTTACTGTTCTTTGACTTGCTGCCGTTTCATTTGAGATTGATATTGGCATGGAGGTTTTAAAGGATATGAATTACTTTCACACCATCCAACGGGAAATATATCCACTGAATCCATGCTTACAACATGACTAGGATGAAAACTACAAAAAATCGACAAAACAAAAATGATACAAGTAATACACATTTCTAAATAAAAACAAATTTCTAACAATTATGAAAATACTGATTCTCACTTTACTAATATTTGTACAGATTCTGATTGATGCATGATTATTATTTATTCTTCTCACAGAGTCATTGCAATATAGATATTCTTTACTAAATATTTATTTTCAAAATGTTTTTGATCTTATTGATTAATTTTCACAATTTGGTTTCTGCAGTATTCACATTTTAAATACTTCAAGCACGGTAGGAGTAGGCATATATAAGTTCACTCATTTAGAAATTTCAACATCTAAATTTACATTTTCAATAACTCAAATTATTTTAACAATGCAACTCCACATGTCAAGTTTACATTAGGGATTCTGGAGTTCAAGAAAGCATCCAAAGATTGTTCTTCTCCCACACACACCACATATTAGTTCTTAACCGTGCTTTTATTGCACTAAAAATTAAAGATATGATAGTAGATACATGCAGAATTTTAAAGGTGCATCAATGAAACTATTAAGACAGAGCAAACTAATTCAGATTATCATTTAGTTCAAAAGATTTCTGATTTACTAAAAATTTTTGTACCTGTCATGAGAATCCAGATGGATCCAGAGCAAGTTGTCCACAATTCTTGTAATAGATGCAGCACAAATCTGATGCTGATTTTCTGGATTAACTGCTTCCAATTTCATCCCAATGTCAAAACCTAATTCTGTTGCAGAGGGGCGAGGTGTGAAACATGGTGCAGGGGCTGGATACCCATTTGTAAAAGATAAGTATTCCTGCCAATCAAATTCTTCTTTTGATGTGGTCCAGCCACTTGGATGAGTCAGTTGCAGACCATGATACTGAGCCCAACCTTGAAAAATATAATGCAGAAGAATGCAATTCAATTTCTGCAAATAGGCTTAAATTTAGATCAACATTTGCAACATTTAAGCTAATATACATTTTTATAATTTTATTTAATAGAAAAATCTTTCACATTTCATTCAGAAACAACATATCAAGAAAGAAGACAAATTGGAATAAATATAACAAGAAATTACAAACCTATAGGAAATATGTAAGGGTGTTGGGCTGTGCAAAGCCAAGAGGATTCAATATCACCAACATCTGAGGAATTATTGCTGTCAACTTCCACTAAAAAGTAACTAGAGTCAAATACTTTGACAACAGTTGCTGGACAAATTTCTGCCATATTATGAGGATGAACTGCTTCTAATTTCATACCAACTTCAAAATTATGGGAAGTGGCAGGTATGGTGTTCTGGATATTTAAACAAGAAAATAAATTAATCAAAAAAGTATATGTATTTACTCATATAAAAAAAATGCGTAGACATTACATGAATGAAAATACAAATATATATTGCGTCCTAAAATATCATTCAGTAAATTAAGAAACACTTTCTCAGCAATAATTAATTTTCTGCAATAGTTCAAATAAATAAGACATGAACCAAAATATATACATACTAGAATAATTATTTTATTTTTTTTAATTTAGCAGTTAGGTTTACCTAACGTTCCCAACAAAAATGTTAAATTGTTCTCAGTATTCTAACCTGTAAAATAAAATAAATAATACTAAATTACTAAAAATAATGATACTGTATAAGAAATTAATTCAATACTCTTAACTAGGGGTAAATAATATTACCTGAAATATGTCAGGAGGCAAGGGAATTTGCGTAGCATCTCCCAAAGCCAATTCCTTTATAGCTTCCCATTCTTCATAATTATGAGTGGTTTTTATGTAACTTGGCTTTTTCAAGATAAAAGGTGAACCTGCATGTAACAAAAAACAATAAAAATAAACTTTCTATACTAAAAATGAGAAATATATATCAAAAGTATTGTAACTGGATGTATTAGGTAATTTAAAGATTTAAGGCTTTTCCAATAAATAAGAATATGTAATCATTTGTTGTTTTGAAATGAAAAATTATGCTTGAACAGAAAGATTGATTTTGGAAAATTTTCAAGATTTCCGAAGAAAAATTTCATTTCAATAATAGATAAGAGAGGTTTTAAAATATTTCACACACAAAATTATTGAGTACCCATTAAACATTGATTGCTTATAAGAATCCTGATTTATTAAAATATGAGTTTACATCAGCAATCTAACAATAAAAAATAAATGAAGGGAAGAGAAACTTTTACCTTGTTCTTCAGTCCAACCAATTCTAAAGAGTCTAGGTGAATTATAAAACAACCAAAAATCTGGAGACGATGAATCAGGGCTATCATGACGCAGAAGAAGCCGTCCTCCCACATTTTCTATAATCTGTTGAAAAAATGTAATTATTAACTTGATACAACACATGTATAATTGCAAAAATAATTAAACTTACTGTTGCAAACCAGAGATGATAAGGATCCATTTTATCTTGTACTTCAATTTTCATTCCTTGTTTAATTCTGTCTACAGGTGTAAATCCATCCTAAAAAATAAATTCACAAATTTTTTTTTAAAGTTTTAAGTCTTTGTGAAACATTTTCTAATAAAAAAAATTAAAAAGTCAAATAATAATAATAAAAAAGAAAAATTGAATTGCCCCTCCATCATACAAAAATTGACCAACCCTCATTCTAGTTTTTAATTACAATATATCAGATTCTGATTTTCCACAACAGATCGGTACTTACCCCTGTTAGTAGCTCAGATGGAACAGATTTTCCTTGTTGAAACACTCTGTCAATTAAAGTCTTCACATCTCCTAATTTTTCTTTTAATTCCAGTGGGGGAATTAGATCTAGGCCTTCAGAAAAACACCACCCTAAAGGATGTACATTAACTTTGGTGAGATCACACCAAAAATCATTTGAACGATTATCTTCTTGGCCAATGTATCGCAATCGTAACAGAGGTCCACACACCATATTAATACATGCTATCCAATACGAATCTAAAGTTGATTTATGAGGCACTTCTAACATCATGCCTTCTTGCAATCCTGTTTGAAGACTTAGTTCCACCTAAACCACAAATAAATGTAAAAATACATTCATCTTCTAACAAATTTTATACAATTATTAACACTATATTCAACAAAATACTCAATTAAAATCCAGTCCATAAATAAATACAATAATTTAAATTATTCTACTCACATGGGAAAATAAGACCTGAGGAACTTCAACAGTATTTGTCATGTCCAAATAATCTTGCCACACAAAATTGTCATCTGTCAGAATAAATGCATATAACAATGTGAAGACCCAATGTAAACATTTTTGTTACTAAAATGTATATCTAGAACAATACTTTCAATCACTGGTAATTTGTTATTTACTGAACAAAATACATTTTCATGACCATAATATGTTTAAAATTAATATTTTTTAAAAACACTGGACAACTTACCCTCATTTTCGAGGCCCTCGTGCCCACTTTTGACGGTAATACTCATAATTAACAATTAATAGCGGGCACAATAAATAAAAACGACGAACAGATGAATAAGTGTAATCTAAAACACGAATAAAAAAAAAAACTTCAATATTAATAACAATACATTCTTTCACATCTACTTAAATGGTGGTAGACCTGAGATCAGAAAGATAATGTTACAAGTTTCTGACAATTCTGTCACATGCCCGCCTTTACTCTCTTTCAACTCCCACGCACGTCAGCAGGGGTGGAAACTTCATTCCCTGGACTCGCTTGGCCCTACGGTACTCTTTGACAAACCTGCGGCAGCGACTCCAGTGCAGTTTTGCCAACAAATTCAATGCGTGACTTACAGGGTTGATGAGGGCAGCACCATCGACTCTGGGTGGCAAGTGTCACTTTCCTCTACCTTTAATGATTTACAATCCTTTTTGATTCGTATATATACACTTTCTCGAAGTGAAATGTCCTTTTTTCTCTAAAACAAAGTTGTATTTTTACGAAAAACAAGATCTGCGCTTTGGTGGACTGGACCGAAAGCGGTTGGCTGGAGACATTACACGATATTTTTAAATTCCCTACCGTTCTCAGAAATTAGGAATGAAAATTATAGCACCCTCGGAACGAAGATGACAAAAGGAAATTTTTGCCTTGAAGAGAGATAATAAAAATCATTATTTGAGGTATATTGTGGTATTTTATTAAAAGTACTAGGCAACCATTTTCGTAAGTCACAGTTCAAACTTTTAAACGTTTTCCTGTCACTTGCACACGTTTTGCATGCAAACGTACATCCAGATTTTCCATATTTTTGCAATAATATAAATAACCCACTAAAAAGGACGAAGCCCTCACCATAAATTACTTGTCCTTTACATGCGGTGCCTCATCATATATATCATTATATATTGAAACTAGGTATAACAGCTGTAGTAAATATTACGTAGCTCACCAAATTAACTGTTTACTTTTGCACCATGGTCAACAAAAGGCCGAATATGTGCTAATTATATCGTAACATCTTTTACTTCCTTGCTACAGCTTATGCTTTCTTGCTACTACTATATCGTTTACTTTCTTGCTACTGCTTATACAGTATAGAGAAAGTATTGTAAAATTGCGGGAAAACAGCAAATTTTCGATAGAAAACTCTGATTAACGGGACAAGGTAACGAAAAAGGAGATAAATATTGTTCATATTTACAGTAAATTACGTATTTAGTACAGTATCTAATGAGCATCCCATATTTGAAAATTATGAAGAAATGGTTTTATGTCGAAGTAATACGCATCAATGACAAAATAATAGATACAGTATTTTATTTAAATTTATGAAATACAATAATTTATTTCTCGTATTATTAAATAACATTTTAACTGCATTACTGCTAACCGCTTTACACTTTAATGACGCATAAAAGAATTTCTTCTCTGTTCACCCTCCATATTGTCACTAATAATGTAACTCAATAATAGACAAGTGATAAATGAAACGAATTTGAATTTGAAACTTCATAATCCATTGTGACGTAATAAACGAAATAAATAAATGAAGCTAAGGCGTTGGACGGAACGAATTTGCCCTCGAATCTGATGTGTCATCAAATCAAACGCGCACCACGATTTTGAGTGCTGCATTTAGTCAACAAAGGTGCGCAAACAAGACAAGGGTACAGCTTGTCCCCAACTTTTTTTTAATATTTATATTGACAACATTCTAAGGGAAAGTAAAATTTCAAGCCAACCAAGTATTTGGACAAATCGAATAACACCTTCTGTATGCGGATGACCATATAATTATAGAAGATAACGAAATAAGTCTGCAAGTCTGCAAACGTTCTTGTACCTCCTAAATTGAATATGTAAACCATATTGCCTCTCAATATCTGTCTCTAAAACTAAAATGATGACATTCGAAGGCAAATATACCATACGAACTAAAATAATAATATAAGACAAAGTAATGAAGCAAGTACACCATTTTAATTATTTGGGCTGTGATATCACATACGACAGTGATGATATGGAAACAAAATTATGTTTCCAATATACTTGCGGAACAATAAACAAATACCTTCACAATAAAACTAGAAAAGACACTCTGTTAAAATTTTTTAGTCATGGCAGTACCACAACTGCTTTACAGGCGTGAATCATGGACAATAAGAAAACAAATTAAAAATGAAGGCGCAAGCCTCTGAAATGGAATTCCTATGGAGAGTAAAACGCTGCACCCTAATGGATAAAATAAAAAATTAAGATATAAGACAGGAACTTAACATATTTTCTATCAATGAAAAAATAACTTAAGGGGGAAACGGGACATTGGACGTCCACGACAGAGATGGTGTACTGAAGCCGGGAAAGGGAATCTCGTTAATCCGTGAAGAAGAAGAAGAAGAAGAAGAAGAAGAAGAAGAGAAGAAGAAGAAAAAGACGAAGAAGAAGAAGGTGAGCCTTAGATTCGTGTAAATACGGTACTTCTTACACATTGTGAAGTTCGAATCCATAGTTTGTGTGGGTCCTTGATACCGAAAAATCGAAATACTGCAAAACGTTCGATAAAACGCCCCAATTCAAAGAGGCGCGCAGCCACAACAATGGCCTGTTTTAAAAAGTTAATTTTGTACAACAGACTTTGTCTGGGACAAAAATATCTCTCTTCAATTTTTTAGGTTTAATTTTTTTGCAATTTTCGAAAAACCGAGCAAAAACCCCCCAAAAATGGCTAGTATCATATTTTATAAGAGAAGTTAAATATAAATATATTTAACTTCTCTTATTACATAGGTGAAGAAAATTTAAAGATAAAAATGGGAGAGGTTTTTGAGAACTTTTTGTAAATTTCAATGCAAAATACGCAAAACCTACTTGTTTTTCAAAAAATTGTAATTTTTTTTTTAAGAGCTAATTTTGAACAACAGACTTTGTTTGAGACAAAAATCTCCATCGTCAATTTTGAAGTTTTCTTGTTTTTTCTTTTCTTTTTTTCTTTTTACAATTTTCGAAAAAAATGCTTATATGAATGAATGAAAATGAGACCTGCACCATTCTCTCAAACGTCCTTTGTACTATTCAACAAGAACATTTAATCAAAAAAATTGAAGCCATTTTGTTGAAAATTTTGAAAATGTCCCAGAGGCTTTATGTAAACAACTCCCCAAAATTAAATAGGTTTCAAATTCCAGGGGCCGCGACATCAGCTAGAACGATTATGGAATATCAATTTTGGAGAAAATCGGCTGAACGGTTTATGCGCTAGCGTTGTGCACAGACGGGCGGACACAGACGTTTTGCCGTCAATCGATTTTTCATCATCAAGTACCCACAAAACATTGATTCTGGCTTACGATTATTAAAGATTAATGTGGGTACAAGTTCTCTCAATGTTAATAAAACAATTCAATAAAATAAGTATTTAAAAAGCCGACAGTTTATAAAAATATACGGAGGGAGTCTCTTCTACTCGAATAACACGGGCTGAAATTCGTTAAGTTTGCACTTTTCATATACAATCAAAGTGCGCATGTATCCAAATCTATCACATTTGTGTCATTTAATATACAGAAACACCTTAACATAATCACCAAGATCATGATAATATTTACGTGGAACTATCTTCGAAATGAAAAGTTAGTGACTTGATAGATAGTATATCCGACAGAATAGCAATTCTCTAAGTCAAATTTCGGAAGATGGGCAGCCAGTATCTAAACAAAGAAAGCAAATATCGTTATAAATAGAAAAACGTGACAAGAAACACAAAAATCAGCAACCGCACACTACAATCAAAAATTTTGGACAACTCTAAATAAATGTCGAGAATCGTGGAGAATGTTGCCTGGAGCCAACGTTCGGGAAAGTCAAGCAGATTTAATATATGGTGGTGACTTTCCCATTCCTTAAAATGAAGCCAGCCCCTTGCATGCTCGGCTAGGCTACCCGCTAAACAGTTTGCCCCCAAAGCCTGAAATCCACCTTTCCACCCTTGTATTTTCTTTATTCGTATATTGATATTCCCATAAGGAAGATGCTTCATACATAATTATTTGTAATTAATGAACTGAAAAATTCAAAGAACATAGCAAAAGAGATCTGGGAAAAATATGAAACCTCCCCAAAATTCATTGGCAGAGGAAATACTTTAATAAATAATTTAATTTATTGTGTGAAGCTGAAGTGAATTTAATTTAGTGCTTAATAATACGTATTGTTGAAACATAATTGTGCAAGGAGTATTTACAATGTTCAATGTAGAAGGAGCTGAAACTAAAATCATATATTGACTTATTGTGAAAACTGCTAATCATTTTCTAAATTTGACATAAAGTAATTAATAGTTTGTATATTCCAAAGGAGCATGAAAATTTAAAAAAAACCTGTAAGGAAATGGTAACGAATTGCCGGGGCAAATCCAATAATAAGTTTTAATTCCATTTAGTTGTCCTGAACAAAAGCGTTAGTAATAATGGAACTCAGGTGAAATTCAGACAAGAATAAAAATATAAATCTGCTCAAATTTAGTTCTCCTGAAGTCAAATCAATTTGAACATATTTCTAAAACAAACATTTTTCTAATGCAAATTCAATATTTTATTTGAAAAGACAATAAATATGTATAACTAGCGGAACTAGGCAGACGTTGTTCTGCCCTTCATCTCCCTCTTTCTCCTTTCTTCTCCCTGTCCCTATCCCTCCCTTTCTCCATCTCTCCGTGTATCTCTGTGTCTCGCCGTGCGTCACACGGCAACGCTCAGCAACAATGAAGTCCAGGTGGTGTAGTTTGAATTGAATTGAAATGAAGCGCAATTTTGTTCTGCGGCGCCATCTAGTGAAGTTACTACAAAATTAACAGCATATAAACCTTCTGGATGAGAAAACATGTAGATGAGCCAACTTTCATGGAGATCGGTCCCCACGGTGTCGGGGTGTTCACCCTTCTTTATATTATATATATATAATATTAATATATATATAGATATATATATATATATATACAGACTAGCTGCCCGGGTGCGACTTTGTTCCGCCTTAAATGGCAATAATAAGCTGTTTTTTTAAGTGAAAAAAAATACAAAATAAATTAAATACCTACATTTAATCCATTCATAATATCTGTATTTTAGTACATGGTTGCTCTTCATTTAAGTACCTTGTGATAACACGACATTTTTTTGTTTTATTTATCAGGCGCAAAAAAAACCAACGCAGGATGGTCTTACGACCCGTGACATGCACGTATAATTTGACCAGGGAAAAACATGAAATGTTTCTAGATTTAAACCACACACTTTTAAGATTGGCCTTGTGATCTTGTTGATGGTCAGGCAAATGCAAGAACGTAGCGGAAATGGAGTACTTTTAAATTCCAAACGACATATCGGTTATTTTTTTTTTTTTTT